AATGCTTAATGATGCTGTGATTCATATGGTGAGTGAAGAAACTGGACACCATTTTAACGGGTAACGAATCATTTCATCTATATTCTCAGGGCTAAAAATTAGAGGGTAATTTGTGGGGGGCTACAGCTTCACTTAATTACCATCCGGTAAGGTAGCACAATTGTCAACCTTATTGAAAAAAAATTGAACTCAAATGTAGGTCGAAATATAGCAATACCTTCTTTTCCACCAGACCTTTGCACTGTCAACCCTAGCCGTGTTTCAGTTCTTCATTCACCGTTTATTTTCCGCTAGCGATCCTCTACAGCAGTTGATTTAGTCTTTCATATTTTAAACGCTCAGTTCAGCGCTATTGTTATGTTACCAATATTTATATCGACATTAATGATTTTGGATTGCATTGTTACCAGGAATAAATAGTCTGGACTACTTTTTCTGAATGGATATTATGTATTTATTACAAAAATTAAAATCGTACATATGGCAAGACTTAAGTCATCGAAAATAAACGAATGATGAAAAAATGTTTAGGAAGCTTTTTTATAGCACTGGGTGACAAACGAGCATCATCCACCTGATGGTAACTGGATGGAACTAGCTTGGTCCATTGCCATCCAGATTTATCCTCAATTAAGAATCAAATGCATGTTTCATCCCTGAGGACTAAGATGAATTCGGATAAACTAGAATATATTATATAAAAGGTGTTCTATTAAATGTATAGAACACCGTACAAATGTACATATAATATAAATATATTAATACAGACGTACACAAATACATAAATCTACATAAATACATGCAATGTATACATGATATATAAAGAAAATACGTATATAAGTGACGATAGAATAATTCTTTAGGAAAAAGCGTTAATTCACACTTGCGAATAAGAGTATTATTAATATTGCGAATTTTACTCAAATAAAGGTTCCCGTGGGGAATATAAAACACAAATGGGAAGAGTGTCAGTCGTTCCGTCCGGTTACAGTCTGGGCGTCTTCCAAGTACGAATGAATAGGCTTTTATTAAGCTACGAGTAAGATTAGATTCGCCATCTAGGGCTCTATCACCATTTACTATTTTGTAGGATTGTATATTTTTTTACAGAATAAGGCGACAAACTTGTACACAGTCCATCTGATGGTAAATGGATGCCGTGGCCCATAGTCAAAGTGGTCTTGTGGTCATCTACATTTGTCCTCGGTGCAAATGCAAATGCGCTGTCTCTCCTGATTACTTAAACGAAATGTTCCGTATACAGTAAAAAGGGTCTCCGGTGCTCTAAACTCGGCATACGAAACACAGAAGCATTAAGCTATAAAGTTTACGCTGGTATTCTGTGAGAGCGTGGTTCTTCCCCGTCCGAGCCGACCGATTCGTGCTACAGCTAGAGTTTGCAAATATTCGATAGTTTTGATTTTCGAATATTCGAATATTTTTTCAGTGCTGTTCGAATATTATTCGAATATTCGAATATATTAAAAACACTTCAAATATCAGCTTTTATTGCTTTAGGAACAGAACAATAATCAACATTGCAAATAATCTAACATACCAACACGAATAGAATCATCATTTATCTTTAAACAATATAAAATCAGTGTTTAGTAAAATAAAAAGTATTATCAAATTCTTAAACATAGTAGGAAACATGTTCTTATAAATCTCACGATTATACATGAACATGTAAATCAAAACACAATAATTAACATTGCAAATAATCTAACATACTAACACTAATAGAATCATAATTTATCTTTAAACAATATAAACTCTGTGTTTAGTAAAATAAAAAGTATTATCAAATTCTTAAACATAGTAGCAACCTTATCTTCTTATAAATCTCACGATTATACATGAACATGTTAATCAAAACAATTAAAAAATTCTCAAACAATTCAAAAAGACTTAAATTCGTTAATAATAAAAATAAAAAGTATCACAAATGTAAAGGTGTCGTAAAGGCATTGCGGTATCATTTTCATATGCAATATTACACTAATAAATCAGATTCATCAATAATAACTCAGAATTAAGTCAGATTTACCTATTATAATATAAAATCAACACAGCTCATAATAATTATTGTTTTTTACGTATTCTTTTATTAAATTCAACAATAATATAATCACTAAACCTAAAGACATAGCTAATGAATTTAATACATACTTTATTGAAAAAATAATCCCCATTAATAATTCTTTTAAAAATGTTACATCTTTAATAGAAAACAGATTAAACTCCTTCTTTTTAGCCCCGTGTAACCCTGCGGAAATATACAAAATAATAAACTCGCTAAGAAATACAAATAGTGTGGGTTATGATGGTCTTTCAACGAAAGTCGTCAAAGCTGTTGCTAGAGAAATTAGTGCACATTTGAGTTATATTTTAAATCTAAGCATCGATACTGGTATTTTTCCGGAGGCACTGAAAATATCGATTGTAAAGCCGATATTTAAAAAAGAAGATAAGCAACTTATGCAATACTACCGACCGATTTCTCTCATAAGTATTATCTCTAAAATATTTGAGAAACATATATATAAACAATTATACACTTATCTTGAGAAGAATAATATACTAACTCAGGAACAGAAAGGCTTTCGTAATAATAAAACAATAAATATGGCTATTTATGACTTCTTGTATAAAGTCATGATAAATGTAGACAAAAACATTCCTGTTAGCACCATATTTTGCGATATGACGCAGGCGTTTGACTACGTCTCTCATAACATTTTGATTAGGAAGTTAGAAGCTTATGGTATCCGAGGTAACGTTTCGCGTCTCATAAAATCATATATTACGAATAGAAAGCAATATACAGAAATAACATCAGTAAATACACACACCAAACATGAAGAAACTTATCGATCATCAGGTCGAGTAGTTAAATATGGTGTGCCTCAAGGCAGTGTCTTGGGACCTCTATTGTTTATTATATATATCAATGACTTACCTAAAAGCATTAACCAATACGTGACACTATATGCCGATGACAGTACCATAACTATACCTTATAAAAATAATGATACCTATAATAATGACATTAATAATTCCCTAATATCAATGATAAAATGGCTAGAAAATAATAATTTAAAAATCAATTTGGAAAAAACTAATATTATGCACTTTACACAAAGAGGATCTACTATGTCAAACCTACATACACACTACAATAATAAAATGATTAATGAGGTAGATAATGCGAAGTTTCTTGGTGTAATTATTGACAAAAAACTCAATTGGAAAACACACACAGAAGTCTTAATAAAAAAAATCAGTAAATCTTCTTACGCACTCTATAAATTAGTACCAATGCTCAATATCGATGCCCTTCTTACAGCGTACCATGGTTTAGTTTCCTCCATTCTTAGATACGGCATTATCTTTTGGGGTAACTCTACGAATAAAGAATTAGCATTTAAAGCCCAGAAGCAATGCATAAGGACCATTTTCAAACTAAAGGTCACGGAGAGCTGTAAACCATTTTTCATACAATATAAATTATTGACATTACCCTCACTTTATATTTTGGAAAGCGCAATTTTCGTTAAGAGCAATCCTAACCTATTCCCACGCATGTCTGATACGGTCGTTCGTAATAGACGTGATAACAGTAAACTTCGTCTACATAAATCAAAAACTTCTTTAATGAATAACAGCATATTTTGCATGGGCCCAAAAATATATAATAAAATTCCTAAACGCTGGAAAGAACATAATAATAACATATTTAAAAATAAATTAAATAATTTCCTTGCAAATAAAGCCTACTACAACATTAATGACTTTCTGCAAGACAACATTGACCACTAACTGCTATAACATATAATATCTACATTTATATAAATTATTACACATTATCTTACTGCTAATTGAACATAATAAAGTAGAATTCATAAAATAACGAAAGTAATAATATACGAAATTGACTAATGTAAGAATATAACACTAAGAATTTGTACAATCATTTGGATAAATAATGGTATGTTTTAAGTACTAGTATATTTAAATATATAGATTCTCTTCTCTAATGATGTTTGTTTTCAGTCTTAATGATTATTATATAATTTATTAATACTAAATAAGGAGAAGGCCAATTAGAATTGTAACTTTTTTTTTATTTATTTTTTAACATTTTGTACGCCGTAGAGGCTAAACATGACTGTCGAGATATTTCTTTTAACATCTTGCATGCATATGTATGTATACTCATGTTTAAACAAATAAAATGATCTTTATCTTATCTTTGAAAGTGAGACCTGAGGAAACTTAAGGCGTCTAAGGAATCATCGCTTAATTTACATCTGAAATGATTGCAGATATACTTCGTAGAAGAAAATACCCTTTCGCACTCTACACTAGTTGGTGGAATGCACATTAACACGTCATAAGCCTGAGTTAGGTGTATTTGTCTTGGCGCTCCTGCATCATATAAAGCCATCTGCATTTTTATTGATGATTCTAGATCATCTTCGCAAGTTGCTGTGGACGTAGAAGGCCTTGCACACATTTCATCATCTATTTTTTTCTGCAGCTGTTATTTTATTGACATATTTGTGATTCTAGACGCTTCTTCATTTTGACAATACTGTAGATCTGCTAGAAACATGTCATCTTCGTCATCAGAAGCGCCAGTATAAGTTATTGTTGAAGGTCTTTGATTAAAGTATTTTTTTTGTATGTTAACTATGACTTTGGTGATAACATCATTGCCTACTTTAGGGAAGACAGTAGAAGATTGTTCCTGGTAGTATTTGTTAGGATTGTGTAAATACTTCAGTCTACATACCAGATCTGTTTGTCGGCGTTGAGCGATTCTTAATGTTAAAGCCTGAAGGAGTCTACTACTGATAACCCCATTGTTCTCTTGTAGTTTAGTGACCATGAATTGCAGGGCTGTATCCGCAGTTAATAAATTCGCCTTTTCTTGGCAAATAGCTTCTACAGTGCTTTTTACGATAGTGAGAGTCGTAGATAAATCCTGCAAAAGATCAAGCTCGTAGGTACTGAACATAGTTTTTTTCTTTCAAGTCAGTCAGTGCCTTTAATATTGCATCCTTTAAAAGCAAAAATTTTGAAATCATGTCCGCCATGCTGCTCCACCGCGTTTTGCAATCTAAAACCAGGCCCGCTCTTTTGTTATCTTCAAGGACTTGTTTATTTAAAACTTCTGTTCTAGTTGGAGACTTCTTGAAAAATTTCACTACCTTTCGTACTTTAACAATCAAATCCTTATAATCGACATTAAGTCTGGATTCACTTCTGGTTTCTGCATTACTAACTACAAAACCTTGTCCATCGTCATTTTCATCTGTTTCTTTATCTTCTGATTCTTCTGCCTCTGAATCTACTATTGTAGATAATGTCTCCTCTGTGTCTATTTCTTCTGAATTTTCGACAGTTTCTACACGCTGACTATATAAGTTCTTATATATGACATCCACCACTGCACACTGAATTCCATGTGCGAGGCATAATGTGTGAAATGAAGGTATTTGACGACCCATGGCAGTCATAACACTAGCACCGTCTGTCACTACACCTACTACGTCATCTTCTAAAAATAGATCGTAGGACCCTAATTTAACCCGCGAAATATGATTACATCTTTCCGATGTTCCTCTACCTGTAATTCTTGCCAATCCCAAGTTTCTGAAAGGCTTGTCATTGTCATTGAAATTAGGGCAGTGAATGTTAATATTCGCATAACGCCGGGTGCTAGCTGATGTCCACTCATCAAGAGAGACGGAAAATTTCTGTCCTTTTGCTTTTAAAACCGACAATTCTTTTCTCAGTTCTTGTTTTAACTGGTCACTTTTTTCTATAACAATCTTCTTAATTGTGTTCGGAGATTTCGGCAAAGCTTCATATCCACTTTTTAAAAAAAAGCGTACGTATAGATTCTGATTTGCAAAAAACGTTGAATAGTTGACCATCACACGCAGTCATTTTGGAAATCACAGTTTCCATATTATCTTCTTTGGTGTTCTGATAGTAATCGTCAATTCTGACTTTTTTGTCTTGGGCATGGGCCGCTGATCTTGTTCTTGTACTACCTCATTTGTGGGAGTGGTAGGCGTAGCAGTCGCTGGAATCTATCGAATATTTCTTCTTGTATCTAGTAGAACGAACAGTAAAAAAAAATCTTATGAGTAAAAGCGTTAATACCTTTTGGTCAAAAGTAATAAATGTAAGCGAACAAGTAGTTAATAAAGGTAAAAGCCGTAAAAGTAAGTTAAATGAGTGACTAACCAGGTACACTTGGATGTTGTTTCTTCAAGTGATTGTGTAAGCATGTGGTGGTATTTGAGCATTGAAGAATTCTTTTGCATAATTTGCATTTTGCGTGACTTCCATCCTCAGTCCGTAAGAAACAGTTCCATACTGAAGATTTGTCAAAAGTACGTTTTGTGTACTCTTTAAAAACCAATTTATCCATCGTCAACTGATCTGCAATGTAATTGAATTTGATACTTGTAAATACATATAACGTAGGTATTTGGTGATCAGTGCAAAGTGAGTTTTTAGGTTAAGTCATAAATTCAACCACCGTGTTTGCAAAAAAATAACAAAATACACAATACTTACATAAAACAATCCACAAATACTTTTATATAAACACCAGAATCAAATCACTTCACAAAAGACAAAATGCACAGCTTTGCAAGTATATAACAACGCGTTCTGTAAGTGAATGAACTCAACAAAATGGCGTCAAGCAAGTCACTCAAGCCGTTAAGCAGTGTTGCCAACAACAATTTTTAAGTTCTACCAACATAGACTTGACTAGTATTTTTTGGTAGTTATTCGAATATATATTTATTTACTATTCGAATATAAATTTGGAAATAAAATTCGAATAATTCGAATATTCGATTGCAACCTCTAGCTACAGCTTATATAAATAACCGCAGCGTGGCTCTACCACGTATAAAAGTCAGAAAATAAAAGTTTCCGCGGGGAATCGAATACGAAGACATTTCTGTTTCCATGCGAACCGCGGGTTAAAGCTAGTGAATGGTAAATTACAAACATTAAAAGAAAATTATCGACATAACGATGAGTATAGAATTACTCTACACGAGGGTTTCCCAACCTTTTTTTGACCAAGGACCACTTTGATTTTTTCATTTATAGCAGGGACCACAATGAAAGAAAAAACTATGTTAACATATTATACATGTGATTATAATTTATTTTTAGATCAATCTATCAATAAATTATAATCACAACTTTTAATATTATTACGTAATAAACTGAAAAGAAGCGTTCAATAGCAGTATTACTTTTGTGTATTTATTGCAAAAGTTACCAGGTGCTTAAAAATAACCAATGTGTTATTTAAAACGATTAGATAGGCAAAATATTTAATTCTTTGGCGCATACTATACACCCGATAATTATCACGATATATGGATCGTAATCCGAAATAAATATAACGGAGGATAAAAAAGCGTATCACGGATCGTGATATGGATCAAAAAAGGTAGTATATCCCCCAATAGTATCGATTAGTCGTGCCCTAGTCTAAGTCTGAATGGCAAACTACTAATTTATATATATTGCAAAATAACAGCCCGTCACTAGTGATACTAGTTCGATGGGCGGTCGATGCAGACACGGGTGGATGGGGCGGTCAGGGTGGTTGGTGAAGGGGTAACTTATTGTTGCTTTGGATGGGTGAAATGGAGAGCGTTTAATTAATGCCTGGCGCCGGCTCTGTTTATATGCATGGCTGCCAGGACTAGGTAGAAAAACCGACGGCTTTTGTTATAGTAGGATAATGCCTGATAATAAAAATATAATTAAGATAAGGGAAAAATTGGGATAATAAGGAATAAAAATTAAGATGTTTTGAATAAGTTAATAAAATTTAAAAAAAATATGATTTATAAATTAACAAAATTAGTTAACAATTGGAATGACAAATAACAAAAACAACGCGTAGAGTTAACTTGGTAGAGTCGTATCGCAGCTATATTATAGTTGTTCACGAATGGGGCGGTTCGACCGGGGAAGCAACACGCTCTCACAGAATACATCTTAATACTGCTGCGTATCGTGAGGTAAGTGTAGAGAGCCGGAGACCCTTTTTACTAGATACGAGACATTCCATCCTAGACCTGGGAGACAGGTAATTGTGGATAGATCTAGATGTATATGGGCCACAGCATCTACTTACCATCAGGTAGACTTTGTGCTCATTTGTCACCCTTATTCTATATATTAAAATAAAAGCGGTCTAGGTGCGACCCGAAAGGTCCACACGACTAACTTCCCAGTGCAAATAATAAAAAATATCATATGTTGTAATATTTTATACAATTTTTCATTCGGCACAAAAAACGACTTGACTGATTTTGCTCAAAATTTAATGAGGTCGAAGTTACTTATTTATGCGTTTAATGAAACTGGTCCCATGTCAATATCACTCTTTGTTCTCGAGATACACGAGGTGAAAATTTAATCCGAACCTACATACATATATACATGTGCACACACGGACATCTTCTTAAAAACCATACTATTCTACTCTAAAGACCTTGAAACGTGGAGACATGTTAAAATTTCCAATTTGCAATCGGACCCATTACAGTAACTTCCCACTGGGAAGTTAAAAACCGTGGATGACAAACAAACGTAGAATCCTCCTGATGTTAATTGTTTACTGCGTTCCGTGCTACAGATGCCATAGGCTAAGATGGAATAACACACAACCTATAGTTAAACTGGTTCTCATCCCTATATACAGGAACACCGCTATGTGAACACTGTAATTTGACGGCAAAAGTAAATAGATATAGTATTTTTTCGATGGTTGTGTAGTGGTGTGTGTGTGTGTGCGTGTGCGTGTGCGTGTGCGTGTGCGTGTGCGTGCGCGTGCGTGCGTGCGTGCGGTGCGCGTGCGTGCGTGTGTGCGTGCGTGCGTGCGTGCGTGCGTGCGTGCGTGCGTGCGTGTGTGTGTGTGTGTGTGTGTGTGTGTGTGACTGCGATTCGTTCGACTCGCGATCGTGAATCTAAGCGCTCCCGAGGCCTACGCACACTAACACAATGTATACGTGCACGGCTAACAACAACCAAAGTTAAACCTTCATTCGTGAAATAGAATAGCTGTAAGAGGGTGATACCAACGACTGACTCCTCGCCTGATTAGTAGTCTTATGACCTAGCATAAAGGTTGTCTATTTGACTTTAGTTTTTAATGTTACTATTAGGATTAAATATGTAATAAATCAATCGGGAGGTGCTCTTCAAACTATGTAAGCCACTTCTTTTTTTATTACGTGAATTTTAACTGATTGTTTTTTGACATTTTAATAAAACGGATTTCCGCAAAGTAACGCCTGATTCTATTAAATATACATTAGGATGTTTCAGAGGTTACTGATTTATCCGATATTCACCTCCACAATATCCCATGTAAAATTAATTGTAGTATTTACTGTTTTGAACGAGCTCAGCCTAAACATTTACTTCTGTTCCAGGTAATCAAATTCCAGTGTGATGCTTTTTTACGATGTTTCGTAAGTAAAACTTCTAAGACTTCTTTCTTTTAAGGGTATGCATCTAACCTAACATTATTAACCTATTTATTGTACGTGGCAGAGGCACGCTGCAGCTATATTATGGTTGTAGCAGGAATGGGTAGGCTCGACCGGGGAAAGACCACTCTACAGAAAGACAGAATACCAGCGTAAAATAGCAGCTTAATTCTGATGTGACTGTCGAGAATCGGAACACCGTGGTTGTCTTGGTTAGCAGTGGGCTTGTGATCGACTGTAGTGGTGATGATTTTGAACTAATATTTAGTTGAATGTAAATATGTAATATATAAATATCCGGGTTATATTAAGTATCACGGAGAATTGTGTAGTGGCGGTGTAAGAATATCTATACGTGGTAGAGCCACGGTTGTAGCACGAATGGTTCGGCACGTCTACCATACGGGCTGGGACGAGTAGTGAGAATATGTCGCGTCATCATCTTCACAAATCATTATAAAAACTATACCGGAATACTTGGTAGTGAAGTAGTAGTTACCTGATAATTAAATTGCCAAGGTTCCTTCCCCCACGGAACCCTAACGAGATCCCGATCAATGACCTTAGTTGACCCAACCTGAGTTCAAACACTAACGTCGTAATCACCGTGCCTGGACAGATAGTAACCAACTGTTTTATCATGTCCGCGGCCTGGATATTCCCTAAAATTATTATTGCTCCTCAAAACTCGATTTTGATTTCTATTGCTTAGGCAATAAGGGTTGCTCAGTGGAAAAGTTAACGTTGCGAAGGGAGGTATTTGTATGCCTAATGGTGTAAGCAATTGGAGGCAATTTAATGTTGTGCTTTTGATAAAGATGTGTTTTTAACGCAGTTGTAATTGGGTTTGGTAAATTCCTCCAGATAACTGACATAGTTTGTGTAAATTTGCTAGCTGTCTTGGGTATGATTTTTTTTAAATTTACAATCTCACTAGACACAGGTTCATTCCTGTCTTGCCTTTTTATGACAGGCAAAGATCTAATCCATTGCTCTGTCATCGAAATATTTTTTTAGTTGCTTACATTCTTATATCTATACTTACATTCATATAGCTTTCCTCGCGACGTTTTCTTTCTTGAAGCATGAGTTATTATAATATCATTGCTAAACATTAATGTTCTCTAGACCTAAATTCGGTCACGGCGGCTAGTCTCAATGGAGACTAGTCAGTCATCTGCGCAGGACAGGATTATACTGCACTAGTTCGCGCAAGCACAGGTACACTAAATTTCCTCACCCTCATAGTCCGATGGGACAGCTATCCTTACACTACCGGAGGAGATTTCAAGCGCAGGACCAACGGCTTAACGTGTTTTCCGAGGCATGAGCGTGAAACACCGCCAACTTTTTGACTCCGGGCTGCTACTGAGAATTTCTTGTCAGAAAAAGCC